CGTGCTGTGACCCGTGGGCAGGACCCACAGCTCAGCCCGGGGGGGGCTGCCTGGGGTGCCCAGCTCCTGGTGCCCCAGCCTGGAGCCTCCCATCCTCCCAGGGGACAGCTGGGAGCCCCTGGGCTCCGTGCCACGGGACCTCGGGGGTGGGTTAGTGGGGTGACGTGGTGCCCAGGTGACACGGGCTGGACAGGACACGCTGGCACACGGCAGAGCGACGACCCCCAGAGCCCCCCAGAGCCCCAGACAGACCGTGGTGTGACATTAGTGGCCGAGGGGACACGAGCAGGAGGGCCGGATCCTCCGAGAGCCGCCGGCACAGCCCCACCACCAGCTCCTGCTGGGAGCGAGCGCGGGCGGGAGCAGGAGGATGGAGATGGAGATGAGGATGGAGATGGAGATGGAGATCAAAGTGGAGATGGTGGTGGAGGCTGAATGACCACAGAGGAGAGAGCAAAGGAGGAGGAGGATGAGCCCAGGCAGCGCTGGCTGCACAGAGGATCCTCCTGGTCCCCACGAGGGGCTTCCCTGAGGGCAGCTGCCACCAGGTGCCACCTAGCCCATCCCCTGGGGTGGCAGGTCCCCGGCACACCAGGAGCCACTGAGCTGAACCAGGTGCCACGATGATGGCACCAGGACTGGCGAGTGCCAGCGCCAGATCCCTGAGCTCAGGAAGGTCATTCCCAGATCCTGGTCCACCGAGACCCCCTGCTTTGGGATGGAGGAGGTGGAAATGGCAGGATGGAGATGGCGTGGGAGAGAAAGGGGGCAGCTGTGCTGCAGCTGCTCCCAGGGGGACACAGGGACAAGGGACACAGCCAAACCAAGCGGCAACGACACAGGGCACAGAGCAGAGCCGTGCTGGGTCCTTACGGGCAGTCCGGGTGCGCCCGGCGTTCCAGGAAAGCCTGGGGGGCCCTGAGGGGAAAAACAGGGAGGTCACGGCCCGGAAAGGGCACGGGGGAGCCTGGGCTGAGCCCTTGGGGTGCCACAGAGCTCCTGCTCCATCTCCAGGCTGGCAGCACCTTCACCTCCATCTCCAGGCTGGGACGTCCAGGCCATGCCTCAGGGCACGGGGCAGCCCTCTTGGCAACTTGCTTTTAGGGCCTCCAAGCCCCACAGGACCACACCATGATGGTCACACAGCCTGGCAGCCCCTCACCCCGGGCACGGGTACTTACGATGGGCCCGGGTGGTCCAGGGGGTCCCCGCAGTCCTGGTGAGCCCTGGGGAGAGACTGAGGTGTCAGGTGTGACCATGGGGACAGGGGGGAGAGAGACCACCTCTGAAGGGCACCGAGGGACCAGCCATGGCCCCTCGGAAGGGCTGGGATGGCAGGGGGTCCGAGGAGGGGTTGGAGCTCACTCACCTGCTCTCCTCTCTCTCCAGGGATGCCCGGGGCACCCGGCAACCCAGGATGGCCAGGACAGTCAGTGTCAGGGCTGTCACCCTGCAGGGAGTGGGGATGTGTCAGAACCCTGGGCTGGCACTGCCCACTGCCCACCACTGAGCCCTGCCAAGCCCCCCCAAAGCAGCCTCTACCCCCCTGACATCTGCTTCCACAGCCTCTGCAGCACCCTGGGAACCAGGGAGTTGGACTGGGATATCAGCTCATCCCCAGGGACAGGGAGAGGCCAGGGGGGGACACTCTTCACTCACCCGAGCCGCCTCCTCTCTCGGGAACTGGGCAAAGCACTGGAAGAAAACCCAGGAGTCACCCAGGGATCAGCCCGGAGGAGCCGTGGGGCACAGCGGGGCTTGGAGCCGCTCACCCCACATCCCTCGGGGCTCAGCACCCACTGCTCCAGCCTGCACTGCAATGGGACAATCCCATCCTCCTCCCAGGAACCCCACTGGGGCTGGCAGGGATTGTATGTGTGTCCTGCCCACGTTCCCAGCAGGACCAGTGTGCCCCAAGCGTGTCCAGAGCGTGTCCAGAGCATGTTGCTTCCCACAGCTGCCACACCATCCGAGGCCCAGGGAGTCAGGAGCGTCTCTTCACCTCACCCCCCCCAAGACCAGGGGATTTTGGGCACCCAGATTCCCACCCGGAGGTGTGGAAATACTCACGCGGGCACAGCTCTCGCTGCCGGGGGCACCCGGCATGCCCCCGTCCCCCTTCTCCCCCTCGACACCCCTGGGGGCTTCCAAGGCTGCCTGGAGCTGGGCACAGTCCCCACAGAGAGTCTGGGAGGAAAAGGGGGAGTCAGGGGCGCCCAGAGGCGTTTGGGGTCCGCAGGGCAGGGAAAGGTGACACATCCCCACGCTCTCACCTTCAGCACCTCGATGTTCCTCTCAGCCACGACGGCCAGCGGCCCCTGGGAGAGATGGAGGGAGGGATGGAGGGATGGAGGGATGGAGGGATGGAAGGAGGGACTGTCCCACAATAGGGGAGCAGGACGTGGGGCACAGGGGACACTGCCATGGGCAGGGGCACCACCTACCAGGTCTCCGGCAGGCCCAGGCAGTCCTGGCAAACCGTTGTGTCCTGGCATTCCCTAAATCCAAGGAGAGAGGGGATAAACCCCGTGCTAAAAGCCGGGCAGGACCAGTCCTGCTCCCATCTCCTGTCCCCTGTCACTCACCTGGCGACCGGGGGCACCGGGGGGGCCGGGG